GTCGTTGACCATGCGCTCGATCTCCTCCTTCAACAGGCGGCCCTAGTGGTTGGTGATCGTGATGCGGTTCGACTTGCCGGTCGTCTGGTCGGAGGCGGAGACGTTCAGGATACCGATGGCATCGATGTCGAAGGTGACCTCGATCTGAGGGACACCACGCGGCGCCGGCAGGATACCGGAGAGTCCGAACTTGCCGAGCGGGTCGTTGTCCTTCGTACGGGCACGCTCACCCTCGAAGACCTTGATGAGGGCACCGGGCTGGTTGTCGGCGTAAGTCGAGAAGATCTCGGATTTCTTGGTCGGGACGGTCGTGTTACACTTGATGAGCGGCGTTATGAAACCACCAGCGGTCTCGATACTGTAAGGAGAGTAAGTAGAAAGCGTAAGTAGGATAGAATGAGGATGTGATGTACCCGAGAGACAAGGGCGTGACGTCGAGGAGGAGCAAGTCCTGGGACTTCTCCGAAGTGTCGCCAGTGAGGATGGCGGCCTGGGCGGCAGCACCGTAGGCGACGGCCTGGCCGGGGTTGATCGACTTATTGGGCTCTTTGCCGTTGAAGAAGTCCGGGACGAGCTTGACGATGCGGGGGATACGGGTGGAGCCACCGACGAGGATAATCTCGTGAACGTTCGACTTGTCGATCTTCGAGTCGCGGAGGACCTTCTCGACGGGCTCGAGCGTGGAGCGGAAAAGGTCCTGGCAGAGCTCCTCGAAACGGGCACGGGTGAGCGAGGTGTAGAAGTCGATACCCTCAAAGAGCGAGTCGATCTCGATCGACGTCTGGGTAGCGGACGAGAGGGTATGCTTGGCGCGCTCGCAGGCAGTGCGGAGACGGCGGAGTGCACGCGGGTTGGAGGAGAAGTCCTTCTTGTGCTTCCTCTTGAGTTCCTGGACAAGGTGGTTCACGAGGCGGTTGTCGAAGTCCTCACCACGGAAGCGGGTGTCACTGGCGGAGACCTTGATCTCCGAAATGCCCTCCTCAATCGTGAGGAACGAAAAGCTCAGAGTACCTCCGCCGAGATCGAGGAAGACGTTACCCTCGCCGGTGACCTTCTTGTCGAGACCGTAGGCGATGGCGGCGGCGGCGGGCTCGTTGATGATACGGAGGACGTTGAAGCCAGAGATCGTGCCGGCGTCCTTAGTGGCCTAACGCTGCGAATCGTTGAAGTATGTGGGAACGGTGACGGCGGCGAAGGTGACGGTGTCGCCGAGGTAAGATTCAGCGATCTCCTTCAACTTCGTGAGGACTACGGACGCGATCTCCTCGGACGACTGTAGATGATGATTAGATCAAGTTCGAGCGAGACGCGCGACACTGGTGAATTGACTTACAAATGCCTTCTCCTCGCCGCGGTAGGTGACCCTGATGTAGGGCTTGCTATACATGTCGATGACCTTGAGCGGGAAGTGCTTGAGGTCAGCCTGCACCTCCACGTTGGCGAACTTGCGGCCAATGAGGCGCTTCGCGTCGAAGACACTGAGAAAGAAAGGAAGTCAGGACGACGTTCGCGATGGGTTAAGTGTGCAAGGTGCCATACCTGTGGAGCGGGTCCATCGCAACCTGGTTCTTGGCGGCATCGTCGATCAAGCGCTCAGATCCGGAGAAGAATACATAGGCAGGCGTCGTACAGGTTTTTGGTCGGTATCGATGACTTGCTTGCGCTATGTGGGCAAGTCAGTACAAGCAATCATGGCTAGGCGCTTGAACTCATGAGTAGCCTTGCGGCCGTGCGACGAGCAGATGCACAGCGTTAGTCGATACGTCGGCAATCCATGCAAAAAGATGGCAAACATCTTGCGGGAAACTGAAGTCTGCAACGCGAGGTCACGCGTGCCGACTTGTGCTCATAACCGNGCTGAATGGTATGCGCTTATGGAACGTACCGTTTTCACCTCGAAATCGTAAGCGCGATCTATCAGAACAGCAAGTAAATACTAGCAGGAAGATGCGATCAAGGACAGACCAGACTCACCTAGTATTCACCGTCCACCTCGTTTCCAGCGGCGAAATCCTCAATGCCGTTGTCTAATCCATGCACGTATGCCTCGTCGATATCGTCCAGATCCACATCCGTATCAACCTCCTCCTCTCCGTCCTCTTGCGCAGGGTCCTCGGTAGCCGCAGAGCTAGGCGTCGCGCGAGCGACGGCCTCCTCATACAACGCGTCCAACGCGTCCAGATTCGCCGTCGTACGAGCAGTAAGAAGAGCCATCAGAGCGTCATCTCGGTCTTGAAGAGCCTGAACGGCGATCTGACGGGCAGCGTCAACTTGTCCGGGATCGAGGCGGACGGTAGCGTAGAACTGTTCTGCGACATCGAGAAACCTGCGACGGCTGAGGACGACCTCATTGAAGAGGTGACAGAATGCGTAGTGAGACAAGTTACGAGTCATCCCTGACTCGTTGATTTATGGTTGTCAGGTTTTGCCGTGCCTGAAAATTGGGCGCCTTTAGGAAGTTGGTTCCCGCGCTATCTCGCGTGTCGCGTCCCTCCGGCCTTCGGGCCGAACTTCACTTTTGCTTTGTTCAAGTATCGTCTGGCTGTGGAACTGCCGATTGTCTCCTTTTTTGTTAGACCTCCTTTACAGTAGTTCAATGGTCTTTCTTATCTGCCTCCTCTCTGCTTTGCTTCGCTCAAATGACTGTGACCGTCTGTCCTGGCTGGTGGAAAGAGGGCAAGAGCTAGGGAGGGAAGCTGTGATGAGCGCTGATCTGGCAGCTAGTGACAATACTGTAGATTTCAGACCGGAGGTTCGTAACGCAAACTTGCGGGTCACAAAGAGAGTTCCTGGTTTGTTCAGGTAACGTGTAACGGACGTCCACGAATAACAAATCATCACCCGGTGTTAGGCCCGAGTAGCTGAGTAGTAAGCCCCAACCATCGTCGGCGAGCTTTTTCGGCGGGTTCGTTGTTGGTCGTAATCCTCAAGAATGCTCAACGAACAACGATGCCACCGAACTTGCCAGCGTGCAAAGCGTAACGGCAATACTTTGGTGGTACGTTGATACAGTTCAAAATAGGACGCACAGCATAGAAAACCAGTATGTCGCTAGGTTAAGCAATCCGATTCCCAAACGGCAGGAAGTCAATGTGTGCAAATTGGTCAAAATAATCGTTTGGCCTGGCCGGCATCGTGCATATGCCGTTGCTCCCGACTGGGTTATCTACATGTCTCGGGCGTTAGGTAGGCCCTCTGAAATGAAGCTCCTGTCACCTGCTCTCCTATCCACTGGCTCCTATGCAGCCACTATCCCGGTCCCTCCTGATGATTCATAGAATGTCCGAGTCGCATGTTATTCAATTGTGTATAACACTAGTCGGCGATATGTATGGTCTTCTCCAGTAAGCCCGAGCAGGCACCCGTCATTCCATGACCACTGGAATGGCTTGTGGTTACGCTCGACGTCGCGAATAGAGCCTATTCTAGGCGAACTTGCTCACCAGTGCCGGGTAACACTCCAATGGCGCGAAATGTGTGTAGAACCAAGACAGTACTTGGATCAGCGGCAGCGGATTTGTTCTGCCTGTTTGTGTGCACCTTTACTTGAGCTTGCATAGTACTCCTGAGCCGTGTATATTACAGCTTCAGCGCTCTATCCGCCATCTTCAAGTTGGGAGCTGAATTATCACGTGCCCCTGTTTTGACTGCATGCGTTATCAATGCTAGTTGCTTACCTTGTTGTGTCGGTTCGCTTACGTCGATTTTGCAGCATATTATGTCTACCTGCTCCAGATTCACAGTTCAGTTGGCAGCTTTCATAGACCATCGTGCATTCTTCATCGAGTCCCTGGTGGAACTTAGGCTTGAGTCATAGAAGACACTCCGACGTTGATGAATATTTTTGGCGCTCATAAACACCGTATGGAGTGACCCACACTGTGATAGTATGCTATGCGCCAGTAGACTGGAGGTTGTTGAGGTATGACGGAAGTCACGTGGTCGTGTTCGTCTAGGGCGATGTGGCTGCGGCGCGTTCGCGTCGCGTCTTGTCTCTTACTACCACCATGTCGTTGCCCTCCTACACCTGTATGGCTATCAGTTAATGTGACTAGGACTGCAAACGCTTTCATGGTACTCAGTCTCTCTTGTCGATTTCTCTGCACGTTGGCGATCGCTTCCGCGCAACTTCTCTGTCGTACACTAGCAATTCTTCGCTCTGCGCCGGACTCATTTTCACTGTCTACCTTGCTTCTCTCTCTTTAGTTGGTTCCTCTATGCTGTATTCATCTCTCGCTCGACAGCAAAAACTTGTTTTCGTATCTTCTGGATTGGCTAGTAACATCTTGGACTGGGTTGCATGTGATTGATGATCTTGTCGTTCTCTACACGTGTCGACCGGCTTGACCCGTACTCGCCCTGTCTGACTGCAGACATACACATTGCGTTCATAACATCGGTGGTGGTGCTCAGCGTCACCGCGCTTGCACGCCATATATTATCTATGCTTTGTGCATTGTCTTCCGGTCTGTCTGAGTTTGTACAACGGAAGCCTGGTCTACTCGTAGGGTCGTTCTCATCAGCGCGCCGACATTCACAGATTTGTCTTCTACTCTTGCTGACGGCTCTACGTGATACCCGCGGGTTTCCGCCTTGTAGCTCTGATTCGACTTATCGGATTTCTTCGGACCTCTGCTCCTCAGAACTGCTGGGTGGTGATATGGCCTATGTGGCACTTTGTTCTAGTTTTGGCTGGTCTGAGAAGCACTCTGGGCCGCTCGATAGATAGCGATACTGACAGAGACTGCGAGGTGGTGCTCAGCGTCACCGCGCCTGCACACCTGTCTGCCTCTTTGTTTGTTGAGTTACCTGTTGAGCTGGTTTCATCGAGCGCATCAAACCGGCTGTTAACATGACGAATGTCGCTGTGTACCAACATGTACTTTTAGGCTGGGTAGACTTTATAAGCTCGGTTTTTCCTTGGTGGCTCTATCACAATCTCGCCTCCCACTCCCTTGATGCCTTTGGCTTATTGGATCTCGCAGGCATAGTCTTCTGCTCACTGTGATGGTTGAATGCTTCTAGTATGCTGCAGAAGAAACTACTTGGGCTGCTTGGGATCTTTCTTCAGGCGGAGTCTCACACACATATCGTATTGGCTGTCTACATCTTCTCTTCAGGAAGTCTATGACTATGACTAGTAATCCATCCCACTGTCTTACAGGTGTCAATGCAGCTCTTTACGATCTGCGGTTGGCCGGCTATCCGGGCTCAGGGTTTATCCGGGCTCAGAAAATCAGGACTTCCCTGTGTTGTCAGCCTACTATAGCTCCCTCTCATATGTCTCTGACTCATGAGGTCTCTTCCCGTTTGTTCAGACTTAGCTCGCTCAGATACCTTATTCTATGGGTAATATTGTTCACCGGGTGATCTGGAGCCTCCGATACATTCCACTGACCTCCCACAGTATCAATAAGAGGAACTATTGTATTTGATGACAGCAACATTATACGGCTACTGTGTATACGAGCGTAAATTATTGGATGGGCATGAGTAATGTAGATCGGGAGAGACTGACTTGAGATGGGTCGGCGATCAGGTGGCCGTAGGAAGCTTGTGGTAGCAGCAGAACATATGGACAGACCAGGCATGACTACACACATACTTGTACAGATGGAATAGGTTTGATGAACATGAAATGGAATCAACCTGAGTACGGGATTAGCAACCGACAAGGCACATGAGTCGCAGTCATGGTTACTGACCTGAGCCCCAGATAACAGGCCGCCACAATGCAGATCTCATATTCTGTAGAGGGGCTGTGTGAGGTAAGTGTCAGAGCAGACGTAGTCGACAAAAGAGCGCTGGTGGTTAGGCATTCATCGCTATTCAGTGTTCCTTAGTTTTGAATGAAACGCACGTGTTGCTCAGGGACAGTACACGATGTTCATATGGTAAGGGTAGTTGCTCATGCATTCACATGAGTGGATGATGGCTTCATGATAAGACACGTTGTCACCTTGCCATAATCCAGTTAATGACGTGTCGATCGATAAGAGATTGTAGAGCGATCCCCGCTTATCGTACTTGTCCTTCACTTGGCTCCTACCATATCATCCATAGTCATGAGTGACAGGAAAGATTTCAGGTAAGAGTACATCGATGTATCGCATGTTGTATGTTACCGACCAAATTGCTCTTGGACTCAGCGCCATCAACGCAATGTTGCATGATGAGATAATCCGGGAGATTATGTCTTTCGCATCTGAAGCCCATCTGCCTTGTCCTCCGAAGATACCTCGGGAGACCACCCCAGATCGAGAGGCCACCCCTAGTGACAGTATTATTCCCCCCTCCTGGACTCAGTATCCGGAGCTATTGCCGGCGAACTTGGTCTCCCCTGGACCCGGCGACTTGGGCAGCGCAGTGAGCGTGAGCCATGTCTGTCAGCGCTGGCGGCAGCTGGCTCTCGAGCATGCTACGTTATGGGCCCACACAGTTGGTCTTCTCCCTGGACAAGTTGATCTTATGGTGTCTCGCAGCAAGAGTTCCCCTCTCCATGTCATGCTTTATGGAGCCGACTACCGACCTAATCCCGATGTGGTGCTTGATTACTTCAGGTCTCATCCGGAGGCCTCTAGTCGCATACACAGTCTCACTTGGGTTGAGGGTCGTACCAATTACTTCCGCAAGAACTACTGCAGTCCTGGAACTGCGGGTCTTCTCACTCAGTGCGACCTAAGCGGCTTATATGACTTGACCATCTTCGCCTCAGAGACATTCAATTTTGAGAACACTGTCATTGACCCGGAATGGGGCTCTGCCTATCTTATTCACATCAATGTTCCTGCATTGGTTTCGGCGTCCATTCACGACACCGTCTTTGCATTCCACGATGCACGGAACCTTACCCGGCTCTCGCTTCAAATGCTTGACGATGTTGCGATCGACGACATGCACATGAACCTTTGCTTCAATGTGGGACAACTCCTGTCCTGCTTGAATAAGTACAAGGATACCCTTGAGTTCTTGGAATTGTCCAGCGTGGGCTATGCTATGCATGAGCCGGATGCATATGATGTCATCAGACAGACCTTTGGGGAGGTCCGTATGGGGCTTGTCCACTTCAGTCGCCTTCGCACATTCATATTCCGTGACGACTTCTGGCCACCTGAACTTCTCCTCTCTGACGAGGAAGCAGAGGATGAACCATATGCACAACCCATACCACTCCTCTATGCCTCCCTTTCACCCATGAAAGCGTTCTTCTCCTTCCTCTCCTATCCAGAAGACACCGACATCATTCTGCACGTCATGTGCGCATCTGAAGGAGCAGCTAAAACACTGCATGCTTTCATGCCCATGCTGGACCACGTCGGTTCTCCATTCTGCGCTGCAGCACGCGTCCTGTTCAATCATCGCCTTGAACGACTTTCCATTGCATTTTATAGGCTACCCGATGACATATTCGACGCTTATCCAGATGTCGATGATCAGGATGTTGTAGATCCTTGGCTCGAGACTGTTTTTGGCCAATGGGACAATACAATGATCTCAAGCCACAACCGCAACCCCTCCATTATCATGAACATCTCTTATCATGATACCGTGCAGCCTATGGACATTCTCCGAATATTCCTTGGAGATGATGCCGATCTTGCCGCGCTCGCGGTGAGAACTGACAATGAGGATGATTACTCTGGTGTGGTAGACTTCTACCAGTCTACGGAGAATCCAGGTTTTACTCGTTTGGAGCTGTTTGAGAGTCTTGATGATGAAGATGTGGAAGCGGAGGAGGAGGAGGATTGACCAGATAACATGGCAGCATGAATGGGAAGTGGGAGACCAGGGAAGGAAAGGATCAATGCCCGTTTGCCTGTGGATTGTCTATCTGTATTGTCGTTGTGAATAAGACACCCCTATGGTGAATTATCTTGTGAATTCTGAGCAAGGTCTTTCAACCTCAAATATGTCCCCGAGGGCTCTGCCGATGTCCCAGTCCCATCATATCTGACAAGATCGTTGTTATCTATGCTTTCTCCCTTTCTCGCGCCCCTTGCTCCTGTCCGCCCTTCCTCGTGTCCTCTCACGTCTTACTAAACCTCAGTGGAAGCCCGGTGTGACGTGGTCCTGTAGCGCACTTAGTTCGGGAAGTCCCTTTTGCGTCCTCGTTATTATGCACATCTGGATCGAGCTTTCCGGTACATACAGCCGACGGACATTGGCTTTGCATTGTGTAGATGACAGCCTCGTTTGTACAGTACATGGCTCATGGCATTGGGCTCACGAGCAAGGTGTTACCCGCGGGATGCAGAACTCGAGTGCTCAAGGAACACTGGACGTTCATGCGGAGTGACGCCATGATATAGTCATTGACAATTGGGGTACTGACGTTGTTGGTGGGATATTATTGCCTTGCAGATGTACAGTGCTTAACATCTTTCTGTGTCTTGTCTATATCAAGGCCTACATTCAACTTTATTGGTGAGCAGGGGTACCTATTGTGATATAGCAAATCAGACGGACCATGCACCGTGTTTTCCCTGCTCAAATATATCACACTTTAGTACTTTACTAGTGACAGATCTCGGGTCGTCATACTCGGTCTCCGCTCACTGTGTGAACGGCATCATTCTAAAACAGGAGGGGAACGTATGAATGGTTTGGTTTCACACCATCGTTTGCCGAGATACTCCCCTGAATGCATCATGATTGGTCTCGGCTGTGTCATTCTATCATGAGATTGGCCGATGAACCCCTGATATCTCAGTTCTATACTTGGTTTCGTGCAGCATATAAAGTGCGTCGCCCTTGGTAGTTTCTCTTACCCTGAATCTTAGTTTGAAAGGGGTAGGCGTGTACCTTCAGATACCGAACCAGTGCCAGTCATCATGCATACTCCTGTTAAGGTAAACATTGATACGCTGGTTTGAATCTGTGCTGACAAGCTCCCTATCTGTAGATGGTTGTCAACATTGAATCAGGAGGGGCGCACAGGCTTGTCAGGTCGGAATCTTCCATGCACACGTGTGACAAGGGAACTTTGGTTGATGTACATGCGTATGATTTCAAGGCAATGGATGTCAGCGGGGCTCTAAATTCTTCTACAGAAACTCATCAAGTCCAAATCTTTTGGCAGCATCCTCTCCTCGGAAGTGTGCAGCGACACATGTCAGCAAGACATCTCCGCTTTTGGTGAGCTGCAAACATGATTTCTGTGCTTAATGAGGCTGACATTTTTTATGCTGCAGTATCGTGACAATGAGAGTCATGCCTTTTCTGAAGAGCTGCCAGACATGGACAATGAGCAGAACTCAAGCAATTGCCAACATCAGTGCATCAACTCTATCATGCCTTCCAGAGGATTATTCAAACCTGAATCTGGGACGTTCCACCGTAACCTTGAGAGCTGTCTTTGGTACCAGCCACATACTGCCGAGGAGCTCGGAGTGCCACGTTTAAATCTTCCTCGCAATCGGATGAGCACTGGTGGCCGTGCACCAGTTAAGCAGACATCCCAGAAGCAGTAGATTTTTGGTATGGAAGACCTTGATAAAATCGATGTCCATGCAAGGTTACTATGGCCGGTAGCCTTCTGTCGTTGCTTGTACCTATGGTAAGCGAAGTGCTCTCGCATATACTACAGTACAAGCCTGTATATACGACGCGTATGCATATGTGTTCGTAGTCATACCAATTCTCATTCAAACCCGCTCGGTCTGAAGGTGTAAACCAAAGACTTTCTGTCGATGTGGAGTAAATCGAACGAAGGATCCAACTGTATATGTTCCAGCGTCTCTTCCAAAGTCGGTAGTGCTGGAATATGTTAGACATTTGTAGCATGATGTTGGTTTCTACTCACTTAGTATGTCGCGTAAATAACAAATGCGGCGGTGATCAGATAGCCAGCTCTGGTGATCCGGTACGCTCGCTATCTTATCTCGGATTCTACTCATGATGTCAGCCAAACAGACTTGCTTGGATACTGTGTCTGATCATACTCGTCGCCGTTTGTAACTTTCCCTTTGTCGCACAGGTTTGTGATGCATTGCTTGGTATATATGTCCCATATCTCACACTGAGGATGTGAGAACCGAGGAAGTGACTTGGTAATATATACCTCACCATGCGATGCTTATCATCCACTTGAGTTCGTGGCTGTATCCAAGTCAAAACACCAAACGTAGCCTCTCCTTCTCCGTTACCTGTTATCTCCTGGTTGGCCAATAGTACACTGGTGACTTCATGTCTAACATTGCTGTAATGATGACAAGCTGAACATACAGGGCCCCCATGGGACAATAACGCCGGCTTGTCGAGCGTCCCTTGGAGTCTCGATTGAAGTATATAGCCTCTGAGTCCATGCTAACTCTTGATTGGCGCGCAAACCCAAGCGTAGATTGACAACAAAACGCACAGCATGGTCTTGATGAACCTATGTTGGGTGAAGGTTACGGGCAGATGTAGGGCCATGATATCAGTAGTGTCACTAGTCAGAGATTCCGGGAGGAGTTGGGAGGTTTGTATATGACAACTGGTATTGCACGCTATATATCGTTGCCTCAGCCTGGCACAGCACCATGACGTCTTATGACAAGTGACTGTGTTTGTGGGCCGAGGTGGAGTTATGTTGCTGTGGATTTGATAAGCAGTGGCCACAATGTAACCCGATGTTGTCATGCGTAGCAGTGATTGACATACGAGATCTGATTTGAGATAAGCCCGCTGACAATTCTATGCTTTGCTACCCAGCAAAATTCTGCTCTTCTGGCCGAACATCATACACCTTGTTCCCTTCTGCACTGCGTGACACATTCAAGAACGTCAGGTAGTGTACATGTGAATGTTATGGGGTGCTCTTTCATACAGTTCCCAATCTGATTCAAAGCCTGAATGAGGATTGCTGAAGGACATATCTGATCAGGTGAGAGATGCTTTGATATCTGCTATCTGGACTCGTGTATACTATACTCATAATATTGCGCATGTACTGTATGTTTTAAGGGTAGAGACGTATGTATCATACTACAGACCGTTCACTGTCATTGGGGATATAGCGCCCAAAGTATTTGTCCCAAATATGTGGTCTTGAGCTTGCTTCTCCTCCATTCTCGTTTGGTGCACTCGCGAGATCACCAGCGGCAGACAACACAAGCTGCACCATTTCACAGACTATGCCTACCTCAATCGGCCTTCCCGTAATTGTACGACAACAGTCAGGACAGACGTATGCTGGCCTTGGAAGACTGTTCGCTGCTAAAAAGAACGAGCGCACTCCGCTCGGGTATAGTGCTATCTGCGTCTGGGTAGTTATTCCTGGAATGGAATTGACGTCGTAGTCCAGGTGTGTGTCTGTGTATCTTGCGTGTACATCCTCAAAGGAAGCCAGAAGACACTCCTGGCAGACAACATGACCGCAGTCAACCAAGCTAATCAACCCTCGTGATAAGCTTTCGTCTCACAATTCGTAATCGGGAAATTACTCACGTCCAAGGCTGCATCATTACTACTTGGCAAATGTCACATGTGCCAATACGCTTAAGACTGTTGTATATCAAGTCCATCTTGAACCTATGTCAGCTTCGAAGGACTGAGGAGCATAAGGAGCTTGTTACCTGAGAGCATTGACTTGTTCTCGGTTTTGGACATTCATCCGTTTCCTGGCTTGATACTTCTGAGTGATCTTCCTGTGACCCTTCTTGACCTTTGGAAGTTTCAGCCCCCGCCACATTATTTCCATTGCCTTGTAATTCATAAAGACCATCTCTCTTCATGACCTCGGAACCGCTTAGATCCGAAACTGCCGACACGTTGTTGGCGTTTTGAGATTTCGATGGATTGTCAGAAGAAGCAATCATGTTCTGATATCTCCTAATTCTGAGTGAGCAAGTGTCTATAGATCTGTTTTTCTTCCACAGTACCGAGTTTGTCTGGAGTACAAGCTGCTGAAGGTGGTGGTTAGAGGCAAGATAGTCATGATGGGGCTCTACACTATATATAGTTAGTGGGCTGATTTGATGCCCTGATTGCATGATGGAGTGATGCCGTCCTCAGGCTTGATAGTGCACTAGTATTACACTGAACTCCCATAACATGCAGTCATACGTCAGATACATGTGTAAAGCTCTCGCTTACTAGGTCAAAGTGCTCATCCGGGAACTTGGGGGCATGCCCTGGTATATGGCGTAAGCGGCGAGGAACTCTGCCAATGTTTCCCCACATCCACACGGATCTCGGCATATATGCGTCTGGTGCCGTTATTTCAGCATCACCCGACTGCTGTGGCATAAACTGCATCACAAGACAACCCTTGTCCTCCGACGAGCGCACTCGCAGACAGCAATAAGAATTATTCTTTGCGCAATCTGTTGAGTGACGCATCTTACAGTTTCCATTCAAACTGAACCCGCGTCTTGAATAACGATCGAGGAGCCTCATGGCATCGGTGCTCCACGGGCGGCGGAAGCTAGTCTCTTCTACCAGAGTCTGGCGAGGATAACAAACCACGAACGTGGTCCCTGAGATGTAGTTGATGAGATGTGTGAAGGGAAACCGCACTATGGGATCCAAAGCGCAGTTGGTAGCAGACTCCACTACATCCACTCGAAGACCATTCTCAGCTGCCAAACGCGTTAACCCGCTGACCCCGGTTCGGTCAGGATCCATAGTCAAAAACGACGGCACGTCCTCGTCTTGTAAGGAGAATAACTCGCTTGTTGGCTCATCGAGGTCGGGTTCCGGGGCTGTAAGTTGCACAGTGACTGTATAGCCGAGCTCGTTAATGAAGTAATCAATGACTGGTGCCGATA